AATTCAGTAATTATTGCAACATGTGATATAGAATCAGAAAAAGCAAATCGATTCATTATTTTGATGCTTTGATAATAGAAAATTTTAAAGTATTCGGCAATAAACTAGTAAGTATTGCAATAGAGGAAAATGAATTCAGAAATTAATGCAACATGTGATATAGAATCAGAAAAAGCAAATCGATTCAATATTTTGATGCTTTCATAACAGAAAATTTTAAAGTATTCGGCAATAATCTAGTGAGTATTGCAATAGAGAAAAATGAATTCAGTAATTATTGCAACATGTGATATAGAATAAGAAAAAGCAAATCGATTCAATATTTTGATGCTTTCAAAACAAAAAATTTTAAAGTATTCGGCAATAAACTAGTAAGTATTGCAATAGAGGAAAATGAATTCAGTAATTATTGCAACATGTGATGGAGAATCAGAAAAAGCAAATCGATTCAATATTTTGATGCTTTCAAAACAAAAAATTTTAAAGTATTCGGCAATAAACTAGTAAGTATTGCAATAGAGGAAAATGAATTCAGTAATTATTGCAACATGTGATGGAGAATCAGAAAAAGCAAATCGATTCATTATTTTGATGCTTTGATAATAGAAAATTTTAAAGTATTCGGCAATAAACTAGTAAGTATTGCAATAGAGAAAAATGAATTCAGTAATTATTGCAACATGTGACGGAGAATCAGAAAAAGCAAATCGATTCAATATTTTAATGCATTCATAACAGAAAATTTTAAATATTTGGTAATAAACTAGTAAGTATTAAAATGGAGAAAAATTAATTCAACAATTATTGCAACATGTGATGGAGAAACAGAAAAAGCAGATTGATTCAATATTTTGATGCTTTCATAACAGAAAATTTTAAAGTATTCGGCAATAAACTAGTAAATATTGCAATAGAGAAAAATGAATTCAGTAATTATTGCAACATGTGATGGAGAATCAGAAAAAGCAAATCGATTCATTATTTTGATGCTTTGATAATGAAAATTTAAAAAAAATTAAGCAATAATCTAGTAAGTATTGCAATAGAGAAAAATGAATTCAGTAATTATTGCAACATGTGATATAGAATCAGAAAAAGCAAAGCGATTCAATATTTTGATGCTTTCATAACAGAAAATTTTAAAGTATTCGGCAATAAACTAGTAAGTATTGCAATAGAGAAAAATGAATTCCGTAATTATTGCAACATGTGACGGAGAATCAGAAAAAGCAAATCGATTCAATATTTTAATGCTTTCATAATAGAAAATTTTAAAGTATTCGGCAATAAACTACAAAGTATTGCAAAATGAATTCAGTAATTATTGCAACATGTGATGGAGAATCAGAAAAAGCAAATCGATTCATTATTTTGATGCTTTCATAACCGAAAATTTTAAAGTATTCGGCAATAAACTAGTAAGTATTGCAATAGAGAAAAATGAATTCAGTTATTGTTGCAACATGTGATATAGAATGAGAAAAAGCAAATCGATTCAATGTTTTGATGCTTTCATAACAGAAAATTTTAAAGTATTCGGCAATAAAGAAAAACGAATTCAGTAATAATTGCAACATGTGACGAAGAATCAGAAAAAGCAAATCGATTCAATATTTTAATGCTTTCATAACAAAAAATTTTAAAGTATTCGGCAATAAACTAGTAAGTATTGCAAAAAATGAATTCAGTAATTATTGCAACATGTGATATAGAATCAGAAAAAGCAAATCGATTCATTATTTTGATAATAGAAAATTTTAAAGTATTCGGCAATAAACTAGTAAGTATTGCAATAGAGGAAAATGAATTCTGTAATTATTGCAACATGTGATATAGAATCAAAAAAAGCAAATCGAATCAATATTTTGATGCTTTCATAACAGAAAATTTTAAAGTATTCGGCAATAAACTAGTAAGTATTGCAAAAGAGAAAAACGAATTCAGTAATTATTGCAACATGTGACGGAGAATCAGAAAAAGCAAATCGATTCAATATTTTGATGCTTTCATAACAGAAAATTTTAAAGTATTCGGCAATAAACCAGTAAGTATTACAATAGAGAAAAATGAATACAGTAATTATTTCAACATGTGATATAGAATCAGAAAAAGCAAATCGATTCAATATTTTGATGCTTTCATAACAGAAAATTTTAAAGTATTCGGCAATAAACTACAAAGTATTGCAAAATGAATTCAGTAATTATTGCAACATGTGATGGAGAATCAGAAAAAGCAAATCGATTCATTATTTTGATGCTTTCATAACCGGAAATTTTAAAGTATTCGGCAATAAACTAGTAAGTATTGCAATAGAGAAAAATGAATTCAGTTATTGTTGCAACATGTGATATAGAATGAGAAAAAGCAAATCGATTCAATGTTTTAATGCTTTCATAACAGAAAATTTTAAAGTATTCGGCAATAAACTAGTAAGTATTGCAATAAAGAAAAACGAATTCAGTAATAATTGCAACATGTGACGAAGAATCAGAAAAAGCAAATCGATTCAATATTTTAATGCTTTCATAACAAAAAATTTTAAAGTATTCGGCAATAAACTAGTAAGTATTGCAAAAAATGAATTCAGTAATTATTGCAACATGTGATGGAGAATCAGAAAAAGCAAATCGATTCATTATTTTGATGCTTTGATAATGAAAATTTAAAAAAAATTAAGCAATAATCTAGTAAGTATTGCAATAGAGAAAAATGAATTCAGTAATTATTGCAACATGTGATATAGAATCAGAAAAAGCAAATCGAATCAATATTTTGATGCTTTCATAACAGAAAATTTTAAAGTATTCGGCAATAAACTAGTAAGTATTGCAAAAGAGAAATACGAATTCAGTAATTATTGCAACATGTGACGGAGAATCAGAAAAAGCAAATCGATTCATTATTTTGATGCTTTCATAACAGAAAATTTTAAAGTATTCGGCAATAAACCAGTAAGTATTACAATAGAGAAAAATGAATACAGTAATTATTTCAACATGTGATATAGAATCCGAAAAAGCAAATCGATTCAATATTTTGATGCTTTCATAACAGAAAATTTTAAAGTATTCGGCAATAAACTAGTAAGTATTGCAATAGAGAAAAATTAATTCAGTAATTATTGCAACATGTGATGGAGAATCAGAAAAAGCAAATCGATTCAATATTTTGATGCTTTCATAACAGAAAATTTTAAAGTATTCGGCAATAAACCAGTAAGTATTACAATAGAGAAAAATGAATTCAGTAATTATTGCAACATGTGATATAGAATAAGAAAAAGCAAATCGATTCAATATTTTGATACTTTCATAACAGAAAATTTTAAAGTATTCGGCAATAAACTAGTAAGTATTGCAATAGAGGAAAATGAATTCAGTAATTATTGCAACATGTGATATAGAATCAGAAAAAGCAAATCGATTCAATATTTTGATGCTTTCATAACAGAAAATTTTAATGAATTCAGTAATTATTGCAACATATGATAGAGAATCAGAAAAAGCAAATCGATTCATTATTTTGATGCTTTGATAATAGAAAATTTAAAAAAAAATTAAGCAATAAACTAGTAAGTATTGCAATAGAGGAAAATGAATTCAGTAATTATTGCAACATGTGATATAGAATCAGAAAAAGCAAATCGATTCATTATTTTGATGCTTTGATAATAGAAAATTTTAAAAAAATTCAGCAATAAACTAGTACGTATTGCAATAGAGAAAAATGAATTCAGTAATTATTTCAACATGTGATGGAGAATCAGAAAAAGCAAAGCGATTCAATATTTTGATGCTTTCATAACAGAAAATTTTAAAGTATTCGGCAATAAACTAGTGATATAGAATCAGAAAAAGCAAATCGATTCAATATTTTGATGCTTTCATAACAGAAAATTTTAATGAATTCAGTAATTATTGCAACATATGATAGAGAATCAGAAAAAGCAAATCGATTCACTATTTTGATGCTTTGATAATAGAAAATTTAAAAAAAAAATTAAGCAATAATCTAGTAAGTATTGCAATAGCGAAAAATGAATACAGTAATTATTTCAAACTGTGATACAGAATAAGAAAAAGCAAATCGATTCAATATTTTGATGCTTTCATAACAGAAAATTTTAAAGTATTCGGCAATAAACTAGGGAGTATTGCAATAGAGAAAAATGAATTCAGTAATTATTGCAACATGTGATATAGAATCAGAAAAAGCAAATCGATTCAATATTTTGATGCTTTCATAACAGAAAATTTTAAAGTATTCGGCAATAAACTAGTAAGTATTGCAATAGAGAAAAATGAATACAGTAATTATTTCAACATGTGATATAGAATCAGAAAAAGCAAATCGATTCAATATTCTGATGCTTTCATAACAGAAAATTTTAAAGTATTCGGCAATAAACTAGTAAGTATTGCAATAAAGAAAAATGAATTCAGTAATAATTGCAACATGTGATGAAGAATCAGAAAAAGCAAATCGATTCAATATTTTAATGCTTTCATAACAAAAATTTTAAAGTATTCGGCAATAAACTAGTAAGTATTGCAATAGAGGAAAATGAATTCAGTAATTATTGCAACATGTGATGGAGAATCAGAAAAAGCAAATCGATTCATTATTTTGATGCTTTGATAATGAAAATTTAAAAAAAATTAAGCAATAATCTAGTAAGTATTGCAATAGAGAAAAAATGAATTCAGTAATTATTGCAACATGTGATATAGAATCAGAAAAAGCAAATCGAATCAATATTTTGATGCTTTCATAACAGAAAATTTTAAAGTATTCGGCAATAAACTAGTAAGTATTGCAAAAGAGAAATACGAATTCAGTAATTATTGCAACATGTGACGGAGAATCAGAAAAAGCAAATCGATTCATTATTTTGATGCTTTCATAACAGAAAATTTTAAAAAATTCGGCAATAAACTAGTAAGTATTACAATAGAGAAAAATGAATACAGTAATTATTTCAACATGTTATATAGAATCTGTTCGGCGCAGCAGCTAATAATTGCTCTTAATAGTTAAATAAGCTTCTCTTAAGTTAATCTCTTTCCTTTGTCATTCTCATTCGCTGTTAGTGCACTCTTGCACATAACAAAGCATAACACACATACATATGTAAATCTCATCCGCTCTGTTAATTGCATACTCCTCTTTATTTATATTCTTTTAAACTCTGTACGAAAATAGTCTTCATTCGCGCAACACCTACAAACTTGTCACCCTCGCATCGAAATAACTTTGCCTAAACAGTGTCCACAGACTCGGCATTAAATTAATAAATAATAAGCTAAATTATATCGTTTTGGTTTTATTTTTTTGCCTTCGTAAATGATTGGAGCCAGAGTTGTCGAAAAAGCTCGACAGCTTCAAACATTTTTGGTGACCCCGACGTGATTACTAATACACTCTGTGGTGCTCGCTTAGCGCGTTAAAAGTTATTACACCATCTTGGCGTCGCTCATCAGTGAAATTTACAAAACATTTGTGCAAGATAGTGCATTCAAATTATCAATTTCATTGTGACACAACCTTGTAAAACATTTAACGTTTCGTTCGAACTGCTTATATGTATGTGTACGCAATTGTCTTGAGTTTCTTGCATCCTCTTTTAATTGCCGTTTCGTTCGTCGCGGTTGGCGCTTTCTCAGCTGCATCTGCATAGAAAGCGCGCAAACCTAAAAAGCTGTGTCAATCGTAGAAGACACACACACACACACACATACATAAATCAAAGCTCAGATAATCTGCATGCAGTGGCTTTGCATTCTGATTATCTTTATCATTTTTTCTTTCGTCCGTGGATCATCGCGTTTAGCGCCTTTTATGTAGCGTCTGCACAGCTATTCCGAAAATAGTTGTCTCGATCACACACGTACATACATATGTATATACGTACAGTGGGCTTGCATATAAAATGTGCAGATAAATTATATGTGCATAAGTGGAACTATTAGCTTGTACATTAACTTTGCAATTGCAAGTGTTCTTTCAAAAGTGAACATAAAACAAATAAATTTGTGGCTAAAATGAATAATTTAGAATCGAGTGCTGATCAAGTTCCTGCATCTCAGGTCACTTATCTAAAGCGTAAAACGAAAGCGCTGTTCGATAGACTCGAAAGACTATATGCCGAATCAGACGCGGACAAATTAAGCCATATGGATTCGTGTGATTTACGTGTACTTTTGGACTCAATCACCAAATTAGAGTCAAATTTCGATGCGGTTCACACGAACTTAGAAGAATCAGATTTTGAGTCCATATCCAGTGATTTACCTGCGAAATTTGAATCAATTCTACTGAAGTTTAAGGCCCTGCTTCAACGTGAACTGGGAAGTCGGCCAAATCAACAGTTTTCTTCGACACTTAATACAAGCTTTACAAATGCTAATCCAGTGCTCATTATGTCAAATCGGTCGCGTTTGCCGCAGTTGGAATTGCCAAAATTTAGTGGAATCTATACTGAGTGGGAAAACTTTTTCTCTATGTTCAAAACGATCATAGATGCTGACTCTGAGCTCAGCCCTATTGAGAAGCTCCAACATCTTCGGTCCTGCTTAAGTGGTGCTGCGCTGGATACCATCGGCTCATTGGAAATAAATAGGGCTAACTATAGCGTCGCTGTGGATATTCTTCAACGTCGATTTGATAATAAACGTTTTATTTTACAGGCACACATCAGAGCGATATTTGGGCTTGAGAAGGCAGATTCATCTGTGGGTAGACTGAGGCAGTTGGCGGATAAGGTTACATCTCACATTCGTGCTATGGATTCTCTTGCATCGAGGGAAGAAGTCGCTGATTGTATCATCGTGCAAACAGTGTTGCAGAAATTGGACAAATGCACTCAGGCCAAATGGGAGGAACGATCATCAGCAAATGAGTTACCGTCGTGGGCCAAGTTGTCAACGTTCTTGCAAGAGCGGTGTCGAATGCTTGAAAATGTGGATCAAGTTTTGCAGGATGGTCAGGTTGGCAAGTCAGGGAAGATCGTGAGTACATATTTAAGAAAATCATTTGTTGCTTCCAAAGCTCCCAGTCGTTGTGTCTTTTGCGAAGACACGAGCCACATGATATTTCAATGTAAGCGTTTTGAGCAATTGCCACCCATTGCACGACATAAAGGAGGCCAAGAGACTCGCTCTGTGCCTAAATTGCCTAAGAAAGGGGCATCAGCTGAAAGATTGCAAATCTAGTACCTGCCGCACTTGTCAATCGAAGCACCATACCTTATTGCATTACAATCAATCTTCAGTAGATACATCCAACACTGTCCAACAAACAAATGCAATACATTCCTCTGCTATGGTTGCAATGTCACCTTCTTTGCCTCAAGCCCATCTGTCGCCTCATTCGTCTGATGTTGTGCTTCTAGCCACTGCTATAATCCTTGTTAAGAATCGAGCTGGAACATTCGTTCCGTGTCGTGTACTCTTAGATTCAGGATCTCAACTTCACTTTGTTACCACGCAATTCGCTAATCAGCTTCAGCTCCGAAAAAGAAAGTCGCTTAGTGCAGTTTCTGGCATTGGAGATGCTAGCTTCTCAACTGAAGGATATTCAGTCGATCTCGTTCTGAAATCGCGGATTTCAGATTACTCAACTACCATCAGCGCAATCATCGCCAAGACGATTACTGATAATCAGCCTGGAATTTCAATGTCTACTAATAGTTGGAACATACCCTCAAACATAAAGTTAGCTGATCCCTTATTTTATAAGTCACAGCGAATTGATCTTCTCATCGGAGCTGGTCTTTTCTTTGAGCTGTTGTGTATTGGGCAAATTATGTTGGCACCTGGGTTGCCAGTTTTGCAGAAAACTCAACTCGGCTGGATCATATCAGGTGGCGGGCAATCGGCCCCCAAACTCTCATCGTTCATCGTAACTCAAAGAGCTTCCGATGATACCAATCTCAGCACTCGGCTTGATGATTTGGTTCGTCAATTTTGGGAAGTGGAGCACGTTTTCGAGCCTATCGCCAAGGTAACAACAGAGGAGCTCCACTGTCAGCAGCATTTCATCGCAACTCATCGTCGATTGTCTTCAGGGGAATACTTAGTCTGCTTGCCAAAAAAGCAAGGCTTCGAATCTTTGGGCGACTCTTATGTGCAGGCCAAGCGTCGGCTCTTAAATTTGGAGCGTAAGTTTGCTCGAAATTATGCTATGAAGGAAAAATACTCTGCATTTATGAAAGAATATATTGATCTCGGCCATATGTCACCGGTGCTCAGCGCAGAGATTTCTAAATGCAAATACTTCTTGCCTCATCATTGTGTATACAAGGAAGAAAGTTCGACAACAAAGCTGAGAGTGGTATTCGACGGTTCGGCTGTTACCACATCTGGGCTTTCATTAAATGATATTCTTATGTCAGGACCGACCATACAAGCCACATTGTTTCACACACTCGTTCGTTTCCGCACATTTTCCATTGCACTTACAGGTGATATTAGTAAAATGTATAGGTGTGTGAAGGTTTCAGAGCCTGATGCAATGCTTCAATGTATCTTATGGCGAAACTCATCAGACGACGACATTCTAGTCTTCAAATTGAATACCGTCACTTATGGGACCAAGCCCGCTTCTTTTTTGGCTATTCGTGCAATGCACCAATTAGCAATGGATGAGTCGTCATCATACCCCCTAGGAGCTAAAACTGTTTTGCGAGATTTCTATGTTGACGATCTGATCTCAGGAGGCAATTCAGTTGAAGAAGTTCGCGACATAATGGAACAAACTAAAAATCTTCTTGAGCGAGGCAACTTCAAATTGAGAAAATGGTGCTCAAACTCAATCAACATTCTTCGCGGAGTTCCAGAAATCGAGCAGGAGAGTTTTCTCAAACTCGGCGATGGGACCGATGTGACAAAAACTCTTGGACTCATCTGGGAGCCTCGAAAGGATAGCTTCGTATTCACTTTCGAGCCCAAAATTAGTGTTGGAAAACACACAAAACGTTCAGTTCTGTCAACCATTGCGCGATGCTACGATCCGTTAGGTTTGATCGGACCAACATTAACTAGGGCAAAAATCATCTTGCAACGCATGTGGAGAGACAAGCTACAATGGGATGAGAGTCTACCACAATCATTGGAAACGATTTGGAGCGAATTTTGTAAGGACTTTCATCAAGTGAGCAATGCAACCTTTCCTCGTTATGTACTCGAACTTAAAGCAAGAGTTGAATTACATGCCTTCTGCGATGCTAGCCTTCAGGCCTATGGCTCTTGTGTTTATGTTCGGTCATCGAAGAATAATGCTGTTAAAGTGCATCTACTCTGTTCCAAGGCTAGAGTCGCCCCACTAAAGACCCTCACTGTACCTAAGCTTGAGTTATGCGCTGCATTTCTGCTTGCGAACTTGATAAGCGAGATAGAGAAACTGAACTTGTTCAAATGTGAGATGCATTGCTGGTCAGATTCAGCGGTGGTCTTGTCTTGGCTAAAGGAAGAGCCATCCAAATTCAATGTTTTTGTTGCTAACAAGGTTTGTGCCATACAGCAGCTCACAATCGGCATGGAGTGGCATTACGTGCCCACTGAGATGAATCCTGCAGATATGTTATCTAAAGGAGCAGCACCGTTAGAGCTCTTGCACTCGAAATTATGGATGCATGGACCTTCTTTTTTGCAAGGGGAAAAATGTTATTGGCCTAGGCACTGCTTGCCTGAGGCATGCTTGCCTGAAATGCGTCAAAGAGTCTTGCTGTCGGCAGAGCATGTGGACATCTCTTTGTCATTCAAGTACATAAATTCATTCGGAATAATGAAGCGAATCTTTGGTTATGTTCATAAATTCATCCGGAAAATAAAATCACCTGAGTTATCATCGGATGATCTGCGTCAAGGATCGTTCCTATTATGTCGTCTTGCTCAAAGAGCTCAGTTGCAACCGGAATACTCTGCCCTACAGAATGGAAGGAATATACACTCGTCAAGCGCCATTCTTTCGCTATTTCCGTTTATGGATGATTTTGGTCTACTAAGAGTTGGTGGTCGTTTGGGGCATTCTACTCTCGGCTTCGATGCGCGTCACCCAATTATTTTACCCAAAAACCATCCCTTAACCTTCGCTATAATATCCCATTTTCATCAAATGCATCACCACGCCGGACCGCAGGCTTTGCTTGCAGCTATTCGATTGCAGTTTTGGCCCATAGGCGGAATGAAAACTGTTGCCCGAGAATTGCGAAAATGCATAATTTGCTGCAGATCCCGGCCTCGCCTAGTTGAGCATATAATGGCAGACTTGCCTAAGGAGCGTGCACAGTGCTCACCGGCATTCACAATCACTGGAGTTGACTATTGTGGACCTTTTTATTACAAGCCCGATGGACGAAATAGAGCATCAGTAAAATGCTACGTCTGCGTGTTCGTTTGTTTCACAACCAAGGCTGTATGGCTGGAGCTTGCAAAGGATCTGTCAACATCTGCCTTTTTGGGCGCCCTCAAGCGTTTCGTCAGTACGCGCGGCATTCCAACATGCATCTGGTCAGACAACGCAACCAACTTTGTGGGTGCACGGAACGAGTTGGCGGATCTGAGACGTTTATTTTTGAGCCAGGAACATCGTACTGAAGTTCACAACTACTGCATCAACAACAGCTTCGATTGGAAATTCATACCTCCTCGTTCGCCACATTTTGGCGGTCTTTGGGAGGCAGCAGTGAAGACAGCTAAAAGGCACCTATATCGGTCTATGGGATCGGCACTTCTTGGTTTCGATGAACTGCGCACATTGGTGTGCCAAATTCAGGCTATAATCAATTCTCGTCCTCTTGTTCCAATTTCAGAAAACCCTGATGATCTTGGAGTTCTCACTCCAGGGCATTTCCTGATTGGTCGACCACTTATCGACTTCCCCGAACCAGATCTATCTCAGATTAACTGCAATCGCCTCGATCGCTGGCAGCGTATGACATACATACAGCAGTTGTTCTGGAAGCGATGGAGCGAGGAATACCTCACAATTCTGCAACAGCGAGTAAAATGGCGGACCCCACGGCCTTCTATCAAGGTCAACGATGTCGTCTGTGTAAAAGACGAAAACCTGCCACCTTTGAAGTGGCCATTAGCCCGGGTCGTTGAAATCATCGCTGGAGCCGATGGAGCCGTGAGAGTCGCTGTTCTGCGTACACCCACTGGAACTACACGTCGAGCTGTCAATAAGCTGTGCGTCCTTCCGGTTGATGATCCTGTTAAAAGTCATGGTCTTTTAACGGTGGGGAGGATGTTCGGCGCAGCAGCTAATAATTGCTCTTAATAGTTAAATAAGCTTCTCTTAAGTTAATCTCTTTCCTTTGTCATTCTCATTCGCTGTTAGTGCACTCTTGCACATAACAAAGCATAACACACATACATATGTAAATCTCATCCGCTCTGTTAATTGCATACTCCTCTTTATTTATATTCTTTTAAACTCTGTACGAAAATAGTCTTCATTCGCGCAACACCTACAAACTTGTCACCCTCGCATCGAAATAACTTTGCCTAAACAGTGTCCACAGACTCGGCATTAAATTAATAAATAATAAGCTAAATTATATCGTTTTGGTTTTATTTTTTTGCCTTCGTAAATGATTGGAGCCAGAGTTGTCGAAAAAGCTCGACAGCTTCAAACAGAATCAGAAAAAGCAAATCGATTCAATATTCGGATGCTTTCATAACAGAAAATTTTAAAGTATTCGGCAATAAACTAGTAAGTATTGCAATAGAGAAAAATTAATTCAGTAATTATTGCAACATGTGATGGAGAATCAGAAAAAGCAAATCGATTCAATATTTTGATGCTTTCATAACAGAAAATTTTAAAGTATTCGGCAATAAACCAGTAAGTATTACAATAGAGAAAAATGAATACAGTAATTATTTCAACATGTGATATAGAATCAGAAAAAGCAAATCGATTCAATATTTTGATGCTTTCATAACAGAAAATTTTAAAGTATTCGGCAATAAACTAGTAAGTATTGCAATAGAGGAAAATGAATTCAGTAATTATTGCAACATGTGATATAGAATCAGAAAAAGCAAAGCGATTCAATATTTGATGCTTTCATAACAGAAAATTTTAAAGTATTCGGCAATAAACTAGTAAGTATTGCAAAATGAATTCAGTAATTATTGCAACATATGATAGAGAATCAGAAAAAGCAAATCGATTCAATATTTTGATGCTTTCATAACAGAAAATTTTAAAGTATTCGGCAATAAACTAGTAAGCATTGCAATAGAGAAAAATGAATTCAGTAATTATTGCAACATGTGACGGAGAATCAGAAAAAGCAAAGCGATTCAATATTTTAATGCATTCATAACAGAAAATTTTAAATATTTGGTAATAAACTAGTAAGTATTAAAATGGAGAAAAATTAATTCAACAATTATTGCAACATGTGATGGAGAAACAGAAAAAGCAGATCGATTCAATATTTTGATGCTTTCATAACAGAAAATTTTAAAGTATTCGGCAATAAACTAGTAAGTATTGCAAAATGAATTCAGTAATTATTGCAACATATGATGGAGAATCAGAAAAAGCAAATCGATTCATTATTTTGATGCTTTGATAATAGAAAATTTAAAAAAAAATTAAGCAATAATCTAGTAAGTATTGCAATAGAGGAAAATGAATTCAGTAATTATTGCAACATGTGATATAGAATCAGAAAAAGCAAATCGATTCATTATTTTGATGCTTTGATAATAGAAAATTTTAAAAAAATTCAGCAATAATCTAGTACGTATTGCAATAGAGAAAAATGAATTCAGTAATTATTTCAACATGTGATGGAGAATCAGAAAAAGCAAATCGATTCAATATTTTGATGCTTTCATAACAGAAAATTTTAAAGTATTCGGCAATAAACTAGTGATATAGAATCAGAAAAAGCAAATCGATTCAATATTTTGATGCTTTCATAACAGAAAATTTTAATGAATTCAGTAATTATTGCAACATATGATAGAGAATCAGAAAAAGCAAATCGATTCACTATTTTGATGCTTTGATAATAGAAAATTTAAAAAAAAATTAAGCAATAATCTAGTAAGTATTGCAATAGCGAAAAATGAATACAGTAATTATTTCAAACTGTGATACAGAATAAGAAAAAGCAAATCGATTCAATATTTTGATGCTTTCATAACAGAAAATTTTAAAGTATTCGGCAATAAACTAGGGAGTATTGCAATAGAGAAAAATGAATTCAGTAATTATTGCAACATGTGATATAGAATCAGAAAAAGCAAATCGATTCAATATTTTGATGCTTTCATAACAGAAAATTTTAAAGTATTCGGCAATAAACTAGTAAGTATTGCAATAGAGAAAAATGAATACAGTAATTATTTCAACATGTGATATAGAATCAGAAAAAGCAAATCGATTCAATATTCTGATGCTTTCATAACAGAAAATTTTAAAGTATTCGGCAATAAACTAGTAAGTATTGCAATAGAGGAAAATGAATTCAGTAATTATTGCAACATGTGATATAGAATCAGAAAAAGCAAATCGATTCAATATTTTGATGCTTTCATAACAGAAAATTTTAAAGTATTCGGCAATAAACTAGTAAGTATTGCAATAGAGAAAAATGAATTCAGTAATTATTGCAACATGTGATATAGAATCAGAAAAAGCAAATCGATTCAATATTTTGATGCTTTCATAACAGAAAATTTTAAAGTATTCGGCAATAAACTAGTAAGTATTGCAAAATGAATTCAGTAATTATTGCAACATATGATGGAGAATCAGAAAAAGCAAATCGATTCATTATTTTGATGCTTTGATAATAGAAAATTTTAAAAAAAATTAAGCAATAATCTAGTAAGTATTGCAATAGCGAAAAATGAATACAGTAATTATTTCAACATGTGATATAGAATAAGAAAAAGCAAATCGATTCAATATTTTGATGCTTTCATAACAGAAAATTTTAAAGTATTCGGCAATAAACTAGTAAGTATTGCAAAAGAGAAATACGAATTCAGTAATTATTGCAACATGTGACGGAGAATCAGAAAAAGCAAATCGATTCAATATTTTGATGCTTTCATAACAGAAAATTTTAAAGTATTCGGCAATAAACTAGTAAGTATTGCAATAGAGAAAAATGAATACAGTAATTATTTCAACATGTGATATAGAATCAGAAAAAGCAAATCGATTCAATATTTTGATGCTTTCATAACAGAAAATTTTAAAGTATTCGGCAATAAACTAGTAAGTATTGCAATAGAGGAAAATGAATTCAGTAATTATTGCAACATGTGATATAGAATCAGAAAAAGCAAATCGATTCATTATTTTGATGCTTTGATAATAGAAAATTTTAAAGTATTCGGCAATAAACTAGTAAGTATTGCAATAGAGAAAAAATGAATTCAGTAATTATTGCAACATGTGATATAGAATCAGAAAAAGCAAATCGATTCAATATTTTGATGCTTTCATAACAGAAAATTTTAAAGTATTCGGCAATAAACTAGTAAGTATTGCAATAGAGGAAAATGAATTCAGTAATTATTGCAACATGTGATATAGAATCAGAAAAAGCAAATCGATTCATTATTTTGATGCTTTGATAATAGAAAATTTTAAAGTATTCGGCAATAAACTAGTAAGTATTGCAATAGAGGAAAATGAATTCAGTAATTATTGCAACATGTGATATAGAATCAGAAAAAGCAAATCGATTCATTATTTTGATGCTTTGATAATAGAAAATTTTAAAAAAATTCAGCAATAATCTAGTACGTATTGCAATAGAGAAAAATGAATTCAGTAATTATTTCAACATGTGATGGAGAATCAGAAAAAGCAAAGCGATTCAATATTTGATGCTTTGATAACAGAAAATTTTAAAGTATTCGGCAATAAACTAGTAAGTATTGCAAAATGAATTCAGTAATTATTGCAACATATGATAGAGAATCAGAAAAAGCAAATCGATTCAATATTTTGATGCTTTCATAACAGAAAATTTTAAAGTATTCGGCAATAAACTAGTGAGTATTGCAATAGAGAAAAATGAATTCAGTAATTATTGCAACATGTGATATAGAATCAGAAAAAGCAAATCGATTCAATATTTTGATGCTTTCATAACAGAAAATTTTAAAGTATTCGGCAATAAACTAGTGATATAGAATCAGAAAAAGCAAATCGATTCAATATTTTGATGCTTTCATAACAGAAAATTTTAAAGTATTCGGCAATAAACTAGTAAATATTGCAATAGAGAAAAATGAATTCAGTAATTATTTCAACATGTGATGGAGAATCAGAAAAAGCAAATCGATTCATTATTTTGATGCTTTGATAATAGAAAATTTAAAAAAAATTAAGCAATAATCTAGTAAGTATTGCAAAATGAATTCAGTAATTATTGCAACATATGATAGAGAATCAGAAAAAGCAAATCGATTCATTATTTTGATGCTTTGATAATAGAAAATTTTAAAAAAAAATTCGGCAATAAACTAGTAAGTATTGCAATAGAGAAAAATGAATACAGTAATTATTTCAACATGTGATATAGAATCAGAAAAAGCAAATCGATTCAATATTTTGATGCTTTCATAACAGAAAATTTTAAAGTATTCGGCAATAAACTAGTGAGTATTGCAATAGAGAAAAATGAATTCAGTAATTATTGCAACATGTGATATAGAATCAGAAAAAGCAAATCGATTCAATATTTTGATGCTTTCATAACAGAAAATTTTAAAGTATTCGGCAATAAACTAGTAAGTATTGCAATAGAGAAAAATGAATACAGTAATTATTGCAACATGTGATATAGAATCAGAAAAAGCAAATCGATTCAATATTTTGATGCTTTCATAACAGAAAATTTTAAAGTATTCGGCAATAAACTAGTAAGTATTGCAATAGAGGAAAATGAATGCAGTAATTATTGCAACATGTGATATAGAATCAGAAAAAGCAAATCGATTCAATATTTTGATGTTTTCATAACAGAAAATTTTAAAGTATTCGGCAATAAACTAGTAAGTATTGCAAAATGAATTCAGTAATTATTGCAACATATGATGGAGAATCAGAAAAAGCAAATCGATTCATTATTTTGATGCTTTGATAATAGAAAATTTAAAAAAAATTAAGCAATAATCTAGTAAGTATTGCAATAGAGGAAAAATGAATACAGTAATTATTTCAACATGTGATATAGAATAAGAAAAAGCAAATCGATTCAATATTTTGATGCTTTCATAACAGAAAATTTTAAAGTATTCGGCAATAAACTAGTGAGTATTGCAATAGAGGAAAATGAATTCAGTAATTATTGCAACATGTGATATAGAATCAGAAAAAGCAAATCGATTCAATATTTTGATGCTTTCATAACAGAAAATTTTAAAGTATTCGGCAATAAACTAGTAAGTATTGCAATAGAGGAAAATGAATTCAGTAATTATTGCAACATGTGATATAGAATCAGAAAAAGCAAATCGATTCAATATTTTGATGCTTTGATAATAGAAAATTTTAAAGTATTCGGCAATAAACTAG